GGGGTAAATATGTGTAAAGCAGATGGTTGTGACACATGTCAGCATATATGCAATTGTCAGTTTTGTTTAAATCAACTCGCCCGCCAGTCACTCCAAGATAATTAACATTGATAACTAGTTTGCAGCAACACCGCGCCACCTGGTCGTAAAACCCTGGATGGTTTTCAGCAGAATCATTATGATTATTATTATTAAATCTTTATTGCATGTAATTTAAATGCAATTACATGTAAGCAAGAGCGTATAAAGAAGGTTCTTTATACGCGCTTGCTGTAATGAATGTTATGCGGCGGTGTGACTGGTTTCGTGACCGGCGTATTCGTGCTGTTTCCGTGTAGGGTACTACCAGGGGTAGAAATTAACTTTTGAACAAGGCAGTCCAACGGACTCCCTGCCCTCAAAAAGAGGGAGTCCGCAGCAAAATGAGGGAGTCCGCAGCAAAATGAGGGAGTCTGCAGCAAAATGAGGGAGTCCGCAGTCTGAAGTTTCAGATATTAACCATAATTACGCATGTGCTTATTTTGAAGATTCATGCGGTTGCACGTCTGCCAAATTGTCTTTGGACATTTGCTGAAAAAAATATGGTAATTCCGCGAGGCCGTGCTCTGGAACGAACTAGTTAGTATAGAATTTTCAGGGAGTCACACGGACTCCTGCATATGTCAAATCAGGGAGGATTTGACTCCGGACTCGCGTTAATTTCGCACCCTGGTAGTTACTAAGTACTGTTTGTTTGTAACGCAGCTCAGTACATGTTTAACGATTCCCTTTCAGGCATTCGACAGGGGAGCCATGAGAGAATGCTTCAGACTGTGAGTATACCCTTCTCTCTACTGCCACTAATGCTAGTATTGAGAAACCGTGCACTAATTTGTTATTTCGGTCTAGACCGAAGACTCGGCATATGTGCCTTCGTATAAATAATCCGTTTAGGAAACGTACATCGGGCGGTTGATTTAATAACGAGAGTTGTAAATCATGATTCCATAAAATCCATCGTGATTTTCGTGAACATCGATTCGATTATGTGCCCATCCGATTACATGCGTGCTTGGTTTGTATTTATAAGGCATAAATTCACCCTCCCTCACATCACAACGGAGTCTAGAGATGGCTATAACCAAAACCAAAACGTCTATGAATAGTCTCCAGAGTGTTATGATATAGTAAGGGACGTATTATTATCATCTCTTGTTATTGTATTCCCGATAGGACACCTACACTGTCACTACACGCACGCCAATTCTGTCGTATTTCTCTCTCCCCGCCTTTTCTTTTGCAATATCTACGTGCAACACTCGTTCCGAATCCTGTCGTATTTCTCTACCCCATTATTCTTATTTCTGTTGTATTTCTCACCCATTATTCATATTTCTTATTTCTATCGTATTTCTCCTCCTCCCCCTCCCATTTTTTGTATTTCTTATATCCGTCGTATATTTCTTTCGCCGCACCACAGGAAGAAGTTGTCAAACTTTCGTCGCAACGAGAACTGGCAACGAGCGCACAACTACGTCGCGAAGGCCTACATCACGCCCGTCGAGAGAGACGTCTACTTTGAGGACGTGAAGCTACAGAACGATGCCAAGCTGTGGGGAGAGGAGTACAACAGGCACAACCCACCGAAAAAGGCGAGCTGGCGGCGCGCCGATCGAAACTTGGTCGGGGTTCGATCGATTATTGTTTTGGTGTTCGACCGAATCTTTGTTGAGGTTCGATCGAGTCTTGGTTGGGGTTGGATTGAATCTTGGTTGGGGTTGGATTGAATCTTGGTTGGGGTTGGATTGAATCTTGGTTGGGGTTGGATTGAATCTTGGTTGGGGTTGGATCGAAACTTGATTGGGGTTTGATCAAGTCTTGGTCGGGCTTCGAAATTTGGTTGGGGTTGGATTGATTCTTGGTTGGAATTCGATTGAAACTTGATTGCGGTTTGATCAAATCTTGGTTGGGGTTTGACTGTAACTTGATTGGAGTTCAATTGTAACTTGGTTGGGGTTTCTGTAATGGGTGAGCATTTATCTTGTTTTTGGTCGAAGTAGGAAGATGGTGCTAGCAGAAGAAAATTATTTATTTACTGCTGGCCGTACTCAAGAGAAGTAGGGCAACGGTGCTACTAGTAAAACTCGTTTTAAGTAAGTGAGAACCTGTATGCTAATCGTCACGGCGACGGCGCTAGAAACGCTCGGCTGCATTGTAAACACTCTCCCTCTATCTCTGCTGCACAGGTTGACATCATGCAGATGTGCGTCGTGGAGTTTGTCCACCGTGAGGGGTCGCCACTGTTCCACCTGGAGCACTACATCGAGGGAGAGTACATCAAGTACAACTCCAACTCCGGGTTCGTCAGCGAGGCGGTCAGGTGCACGCCGCAGGTACGCAGCCACGCTTCGATCCCTGGCATCGAGTCATCATCGATAATCGATCGTCGACACATACATATAACGATACATCGATAATAATAATTAAAATTAATAATAATTCAATAATATAATAATTATAATCTATATAATAATTAATAATAATATTGATTGTAATAATTAATATGCAATATATATAATAATACATTGATCATCGGCTTTCGGGCGCCAATGCCTGGCGTTGACACCGCTGGCTGTCGGCGTGGTGTGCATCATTCGATCGCGTTCGAACTTCTCTGTGCTAGGGATAGGGCTTGAGAATTTGCTCAATGTAATCATTCTGTAAACGCTCGTGGAAGGGAAGCATACTTCATATATTTCCAATGGTTTTTTTTTCATCTTCAGTTAATCTCCACCTAATCTTTACCCTCCAGACACTTAACCTTACCTTATTGGGCATCTTCGATTGATATATATAAACGCCAATATATCCAATTATATAAGCCCATATGCTTCGTATGCAAAAACCAATATTTCGGTCTTCCGTGAACCTACACCAGTTCCGATCTCCTAACCGTCCCCGCCGGACCCCGGCACGCTACCGCGTCCCACCTCGCAACCCCGGCTCACCCCGTGCGTTCTCTTCGCAGGCGTTCAGTCACTTCACGTTCGAGCGCTCGAGCCACCACCTCATCGTAGTCGACATCCAGGGTGTCGGCGACCTGTGGACCGACCCACAGATCCACAGCTGCGAGGGGACCGACTACGGCGACGGCAACCTCTGCACGAAGGGCATGGCGCTGTTCTTCCACTCGCACGCGTGCAACCACATCTGCGACCGCCTCGGCCTGACCCCGTTTGACCTCGCGGGCAGCGAGCTACGCCAGCAGGCCAAGCGCATCGCCATGCAGGTGCGTGCGACGCGCGGGGCGTCCGTGCGTCGCCACGGCAACCGTGCCGCGACGTGGGGAGCGTTGTCGCGGTAGTGTTGTAGCGTGGCGAGTGTTGGTGGCTTGTTCATAGCAAGGAGCTAAATATAACAAGGAGAGGAAGCGCCGCCATATCTGGCCCAAATTTGGGTTCGGCAGAGACCCTAGAACATATTAGTGTTCGATTGTCTCTGGGTTCTGTCTGCACAGCCGTTTCAGCTGATTATGGTCCATAGAATTAAGGCGCCCTTCAGGCGAAAAGCACACAGCCAATCCGCTTCCTTTCCTTGTTATATTTAGCTCCTTGGTTCATAGCGCGGTGTGAAAATCGTGTTACTTAGTTTGAAGGGAATTTTTGTTTGTTACATAGCTTTTTTAGTAGCTGGGAGTATGGTAGGCCACATACCCTTGCCTTAATCCTACTCAACAAAGGCATTCAAAAGTTGACGCTTCTGCCTGATCGATCGATCACCCTCGCCCGATCAATTGCCAAGCACCTAAACGATTGCCCCTACCTGATCTATCGCCCTCGCCCAATCAATCAATCACCCTCCCCTTATTGATGGATGATCATTAAAAATTACAGAAGTGTTCGGAGACTAAGATCCGCGGTTCGCTGGAGATCTGTGTGAGTCCGTCAGCGAGTGAGGCGTCCGACCTTCACCGCTTCCTTCGCCAGCGCACCTACTCCGGCAGCAGCTTGGGCGGCTGCGTGCCCGCATCGCCGTCGGCAACGTCTGCATTCTCGCCACCAGGGGACGCGCTCGGCTCGCCCGTGTCGCAGGATTCTGATTTCGGCAGCAGCGGACGCCTGCGCTTCATGTAGGTGTTATGTTGTTCATCAGAGAAATAGATATACAGTACACAATTAATCTATTATCCGAAACCCTTGCGACCAGACACGTATCGGATTTCGGAATGGTAGTACAGTACAGATATACATACCGTATATCCTGCAACTAGCCAGTACTTAAACCCAAGAGGCCAAGTGCTGTACCGGTACAGTACAATATTTATGTATGGGTAATGCCAAACACATAATGCCAGCAGGAGAGAGGATGCAAGGGAATATTTTGCTCGACTACTTCGAAATTTTGTCATGTTTTCACAATTCAGCCCCCCTTTAAAAAGAGTAAAACATTCAAACTTCAAACTCAAACCCCTATTTTGGAATGGGATTGTTTTAAGCTTTATTCCATTTGTCGACTTTTTCCAAAAATTCGATTTTCTGAAAATTATTAAATTCGACTTGCCTCCGCCTCTGCAGCTTTGTTTTAAAATTAAAAATATCGAAATTTTTTATTGATATATTTTATTCGCTCGGCGTTTCCAGGTCGGGAGATTCGGCAGAGTTTTCGTCGTCGCGTCAGCGCGTCCTGTCCGGTGACTCGGACTGCTACTCCCTGCCGTCCTCACGCGCACGCACCATCTCCGGCGACTCGGACACCGACAGCAACAGCGGCACATGGTCGCGGGTATGTGTCGTGGAGGTGGAGAGAGAGAGGCAGGGGGTGTGAAGCAAGAGTGTGGGAGAGTACGTGGGGTGTAGTGGTGGCAGTAGTAGTAGTAGTTGTAGTGGCAGTGGCAGTGTCAGTGGCAGTGGCAGTGGCAGAAGCAGCAGCAGCAGCGGCAGCAGCAGCAGCAGCAGCAGGAGTAGCAGCAGCAGCAGCAGCAGCAGTATCAGCAGCAGCAGCAGCAGAAGCAGAAACAGTTGCAGCAGCAGCAGCAGCAGAAGCAGAAACAGTTGCAGCAGCAGCAGCAGTAGTAGTAGCACTACTTAGTGTACATCTGCATTTTAGGATCACTTCAAAAGACTGCCGAAAGCATCCTTTGTAGACAGCTGTCCATTTAGTAGAGTTGGTTTCACCATATAACTTTCATGCACGGGAAGAGCTAAAAGTGTGTTTTATATACTGTGTTCACACGGTAATGGTTTGGCTCGAGCTAAATGGGCTAAATTTGGCTCAGGCTAAATTTGGCTCGGGACGGTGAGTCGGAGCGTTCAGACGTACACAAGTGAATACTGTCTGTCGCGAGATGGAGTTGTGTACGATTCAGTGTTTACTTACGTTCCGAGTTCAATTATCAATCTTGAAAACATGCATCCTGATCAAATTTTCCGAATTTTTATACTGTTTTGGACTTTATTTCGTCGAAGTACGCGTTCAACACTCGTGGCATCTACCGCTGTACCGATTTAGCTGGTGCTAAAATTTGGCTCGGGCCTGGTCAGACGTTTAATTCGATGGGACCAAATTGGCTCGTGCTAACCCGGCACGGCCCCGAACCCGCCGTGTGAACGCTCGGCTCGAGCCAAATTTGGCGCGGGCCTAATTAGGCTCGGGCTAAAAACGTCCGTGTGAACGCGCCTATATAGACAGGTGTCCAATTACTGCAATTAGTAGACATGTGTCCAGTTAGTAGAGTTGGATTTACAGTATAACTTTCATGCGAGGGAAGAGCTAAAGGCATTCTTTATAACCAGGTGCCTAATCTACAGCGATCTAATTGCTAACAGTCTGCTAAGACTAAGAGTTGTAATGTCCCCGTGTAGCAGTAGTGGGAATTAAGGATGTGGCGGTAAAAAGTGACGAGTGGTTTCTCCACTGTGTAATTACTGCTGCCGATATTTTCTAGTGCTGCGACACTGAGCAAACACGAAACTGTTTGCATAGGGTTTTTATTAATAATTTTGCAGGAGGAAGAAAGGATTCAATACCTGACAGCTATGATGAAGAGCAGGCCGGCTGGCGTTGCCCAGGAGATCGATCTCAGAGAGCTGCGTGACTCCGAAACAAAGACTGGTGGCTCCACCTTGGGACAAGTATGTGGAACTTTTCTTTCTGTTCTTTTATTTTTTAGCTCACCTTGACATCGGCAAGCTGAGCTATTGCCATGGGTCGTCGTCCGTCGTACGTCCGTCTGTCCGTTCGTCCGTCTGTCCGTTCGTCAACATTTGGCTATGGTCAAAGATAACTCAGGAACCGTTTTACCCACATGTTTGAAATTGGGTATAGTTATTACTGCTATGCTCCCATATTGAACGTCCTATTTTTGGAGCACGGCAGTCGACGTACTTTCGAGCCACGGCAATTTTTTGGCAAAAATGGGAATTGCTATTAGTCAGTTCAGTTTCAACGGATTTTGCTCTTTTTGGTATGTGAATGAATAAGGGCTAGAGGTTTTGATATTTAAAAGAAATATTATGCAAATTAGGTAGGTTTTGGCAATTATATAGCATATTATATAGACACGCAGATAACAAACAGTCTGTGGTGTCACACTCGTCTGGTTCGTTTTACAAGATTTCATTGACACAAAAAAATCTTTAATACAAAATTGGTATTTCCTCTCCACCCTGCCGATAAAACGTCTATATTAGAGTAAAGTTTTACAAAACATGTCGGAACGCAGCATAACCTATTTATTTCGAACGCCATTGCTAAGAAACATCAAAGCGGGTATAGCAGCCATCTACCGTCACAAAGTTGGGGATCATTTTATTTATACATATTATGCGAATCTACAGATGCAACCAGTAGTGGCAGCCGCGTAGAAAAACTCATACGAAGAAACACTTCCATGCACCCAATAAACTTGACAAAGGATGGTGGCGGGAAAACACCATTGTCACGTGGAACCAGCAAACACGAGTGAAAAGGAAGATCACTCTCAAATCTACAACGTTACCACATCGAGCTCCGCTTAGCAGTGCCTAAATCTGATGAAAACACGTTAAATGCGAACATCTTACGGGTAACGGCCATCACTTCGCCCACATCTCAACTCACCTCTCAAACCATTTATTTCACATAAAAAACACATAATTATCAAGAGAATAATGGGAGTTCTCCCATATAATCTCGTCTATAAACGTACTGCGACTGGTTGCCCAATTAAAACGACTCTCTCACTCCACCATTGTGATACTTTTTGTGTGAGGACTACAGGTCATTGAGACATTTCAATTATCATCTGACGATGTATTCGTCGCCCCTCGCTTAATCCCCGCAGCGAGTTTCAATCGTGGTGAGAGGCGCGGGCCCTTGATGAAACGAGCGTGTGCATAAATAAACGCGATCGTTATGTAAAAATAGTGAGTAATAAATCCTCGTTTGTGATACAGACGTGACATCACCCAAAACCCGCAGCCCCGCCGTGTGATACGACGTGTGCGTAATTAAAATCTTGTGGAATACGCGCAGATGTAATTGAGTATGCCCGACAGTGTAATTAAACACCAGAGCCGTCAGTACGTTTCTTAGTACGTCCGCACATAACATAAATCTGTTGTATCAACCGACGTCGAATAGTAGCACAAGCGACACAGACGGTTAATCTAAACATGGTCTCGGCACAGTCCGTGCCGCAAAAGCTGCTTTCTGAATTGAGGGGCCGTCCTTGAAAAGTCTTGAATTAAGTAATTGTGATTTTGTGCTTGAAAATCACTTCATAAATTCCTGACTTTTAGAAAGAACTCATTGCCTGAATAAACACAGAAATTTTCACCATCAATAATGTGGGCAAACTCAATAAACATTGCGTTAAATGAGTTACAACCTATAGACACGATAGAGCAGTAAATAATGATTCACAAATTACAGAATCACTACAATCAGTACATAAAATCAAGGATATGTTGTAGAATGACAGTGTTTAGAAGGGTTAATTAATGTCAGCCATCAGAGATGTTTGTTGCTGTGATGAATTCCCATGAAAGGTCCCTGCATGAGAATCTCCCTGAATTCCGAAAAATGATACCTGAAAATCTGAAAAAAATCCAGAGATCCTGTACGAACCGAGTATAACCATCGAGCTCTGTCAGACGTTCAAGCGTGCGTCATTGCGGCAGTACGACGACATAATCAAATATAAAAAAATTTTATCATAAATTTATGTATGGAAGAATGTTTTGGAAATGTTTTCATTTTTATTTTTTATTTTTTATTTAATAATTATTTTTATCATTAGTTTTACAGTTTTGTCATTATAACTCCATGACAATAAAAATAGAATAAAAATAATAATATATAAATCATAAAAAATATAAATCGTTACTGCTCACGCAGATTCACCTGACTAGCGAAGTACGCAGAGATCGGCCCGTTCTACTCGACAGCGTGCGGAGAAGCGAGCGCGACATGGCAAGACGCATAGTATCCACCTCAAGAGACAGAAACGCAAAAGTGGGCGTGCAGGAAGGCCAACTCCGGCTCACACCCCCCAAGGCGTCCTCCTTCGCGCCACAGACATCGCCGTGACCGTCACCAAGAGGACGTGCAACCGCGCACGCCCAGCGGAGGTTGTGGGCTCCCTCTCCCCTCATCTCGCCTCTCGCTCTCTCTCTCTCTCCCTTTCGCTCTATTGTGTGTCTCTCGCTCTCTCTCTCGCTCTTCTCCTGTGCTCTCTCTCCTACTTGTTCCTTTTCCTCTACTCGCTATGGATCATGCGTCCAAGTGCGCAGAGTATGCGCTCAGCGGTGGGCGTCGTGCTCTCATAATATAAAATATTTCGAGTCTCCTGCGGACGTTGTTATTATCCTCTTTCCAACATTAACCATGCAAAGTGAGTACTAACGATGGGGTCGACAAAGCGCCCACGCCGCGGCTGCTACGTGCGCCGTCTATAGTGTGGGTCCTATCGTCTGCGCAGACGTGTTGGATAACTGACCGCGGCATCGACTACATCGCAGCTGCAGACGCCGCGACGCACAGCGCCATCATCACATGGCAAAAGGCGTCGCGTGCGGAACCCGCTAGGCAAGAGCCGTAACGGCCTTGTGTCGAGCAGGCGTGCGTGAGTCGTAACGCATGTGAACTGCGCTGACGTGCGCGTGTACGCGTGCCGATGCGTGCGTGCGTGCGTGAATCATGTATGGTGAGCGTGTGCGCTTGAGCGGCGTGCGTGATCAATGTCTGTGAGCATGTGGAGCGTGTTGCGCGTTGAGCGTGCGTGCGTGATCATGTAGTAAGAGCATGTGAGTGCGTGCGTGCGGAGCGTGGGCGTGCGTGCGTGTAGCACGTGTCTTGTTGCGTGTGTCATAGCGTGAACATACAGAAAGCAAGCACCGTTAACCCGCCCCCGCGTTGCCGTCCTTGCAGGAGCAAGGACTGGAAGAGCGGGCCTACTGGTACACGTCAGCGATCAACACGGAGGATCCGGACGAGAACGGGGAGTTCAACAGCGACAATGACGACCGCTACCACTCAGGCTCGGCAGGCCGAGATTGCACAAGAGGTTCCCTCGAGAAGACCCAGCTCCGGCCGTGCTGTGCGGAGCAGAGCCCACACTTACGCGCCCTTACGAGCCGCGAGAGCGATGACCAATGCTATGACGCACTCGCTTAACGAGCACACGCCGCATCGGCTAAGACTGCGAACCTGATGACACCACCCCTACACCCGCGCTCGCTAACGAGCCCCGAAGCTGATTGACACCTATCAGGCGCTCGTTAAGGATAAGTTCAGGGTGCAGGGAAAACTGTCAGAATTAATACCGTCATTTGTCTGATAAGATGGTCGCCTCCGGCACTACGTAAAAAAGATTATTATGTCTGTGTCTCCCAACCAGTGAAATCCCCAGCATAGCACCCAAAGACCCCCAGTTACGCCGGTACCGTGCCGGCGATTGCAGGCTGGCTTAAACCGCATCCTCACGAATAAATCGAAAAAACTGCATAAGAGCAGACAGATTGGGGTCTCGCCGTAACCGGACCTTTACGTTATTACCCTGCACAACCAATTCCACACATTCTCGCTCACAATCTTCATACCCCAGCTACCCGGCTGCACGCGCGTAGATCTCTATTAATTGCTTCGCTTCTAGAGCTGCGAAACAGACGTTGTAGAACGAAGCCAATCACAGCGTCGAGTCAACTGTACAACGCTGTGCACCCCAGAGTAGTATCGTCCCCACAACACAAACACCCCGCCCGCCACGCCCGGGCCAGAAACAGATGTAGTCAACAGACAACCTGGAATGTGTTTTTTTTTTACAACATAGACATCAGCAACAAAACAACAACAGACGGCCAACGATGCCAATGAGTAATGACAGATATGGATGGTTAAGCACGACAGCTAATCCAAACGCTATAAAAGGTTCACGGACGTCGAGCGCGCTGATCAAAAAACTTTAGGCCACGTTTCTGTCGCCACAACATATACCGCATAAAAACTTCTACGACTGGCGAAGAAGAACGTGCGACAGTGTGATTTTCTAATCGAGACCTTTGCCTCCACGAAAACCTTTGACCGGCGAGACAAGAAGGGCGACGAGCTAGGCACAGCTAACGCAGCATATCGAAGTGTCACGGCGACAAAAACTTTCGAAGCAGTACCGTGCATTAAAAACCTCCTGCAATTGGCAAAAAAAATGCACGACTGGGTTTTCATCGTCGCGTGTTGAACACAGATGGCAACGAATGACAACAATAACAGCAAAAACGATACTTAACGCATCTAATGCAGCTATCTAAGTTCACGGTTGTCAAGAGGCATTTGTTTGTCAAAAACGCTGCGTCCCGAAAATATAACTCATAAGAACACCCTACGAAACAGGCCCGACAAACGACGAGAAAGTGCTACGTGATATTCTAATCGTCGCGCGGTTTTTGCCGACGGGTTGAGTTTACACGGCGCGCCGAGCGGCATTGAAGCGATGAAGTCGCCGCCAACCAAGTACTTACGCTGCTCGCAGAGGAACCTGGCCGACGTAGAGAGTAGGAGACAGAGAGAAGCCGAGAGCGAGAAGAAGAGAGAGAGAAGAGAGAGAGCGAGAGAGAGAGAGAGACCGCTCTCCTTAGGCAGGAGTAGGAGACAGAAGAGAGAGAGGGCCGCTCTGCCTGCAGGAAAGAGTAGACGAGAGAGAGAGGGCCGCTCGCGCTTAGCAGGCAAGAGTGAGGAGACAGAGAGAGAGAGACGGCGCTCTCCTAGCAGTGATAGGAGACAGAGAGAGAGAGGGCCGCTCCCTTAGGCAGGAAGAGTAGGAGCGCATAGAGAGACAGAGCGAGAGATCGTCTCCTCGTGGGATCGACTGTGACTGTCGTGTTCGACGACCACGTCAGAGAATCGCTCCCAGCTGGCAATGCCGTAATAGTGCTTCGAAAATGATGGTATTTCCTGCTGCCCCTAACGATGACGTCAGGAGAGCGTGCTGCGATTCGTCGCCGTCGCGCACAGCGCTTTGATAACGCGCGGCTGGGTGCGCGTGTACGGCGATTGACGCGAAAAACGATTTCGTTGTGCTTTGCTCATCTATATCCGCCGCGGCATTGCGAAATGCGCGTCAGATAATTGAAACGAGAACCGTATGGCAGACCGGTGCAGTATTTTGAGGAGCCGTGATATGTACGGGCGTCTGTAAACCTCGTTGCTAGGTGGGTACGCGCATCCTGTTGCTAGGCCGATCGGTTTTTCGTTGCTAGGCACCACGTGAAGCTGCTCGCACCGAGGCGAAAGTCTTAAGCCGCGATGCAAGCCTCTTCGTTTTATTTTGTTTTTAGACGACGATGACGTTGGTTAGAACCGTCTGGAAAAGTATACTGGCTGTCTCTGGTCTCATCACAAAATTTTAACCCGCCGCCATGTGTGCCGAATCAAATCCGTACACTGGGCACCCGTAGATAGAGTCGTATAGTATTAACACTATAACAGCGTTTGGGGGAATAGAATGACAGCGATATGGGGTCTCTGTGGCGATATTCTACTGTTTGTCTATTCGGTTGATAAGTACCGCTACATGGTGTTAGCATTGCCACGGGAAGTTTGAAGAAATAAGTGAGATGGTAGCTTACTGGACAGATGCGAGAATGGCATTTATTGAGACGATTATGGCGCGCTTTATTTAGATGGGAGGTTCGGTGTAAAGAAAACAAAACATAAAATATATATTATACGCGTGGGCTGTGAAGTAGTGACAAGGTAAAAATTGCATCACGGAGCACTACGTCGGCGTCGTGCGTTTACTTGTCGCGTGTTATTTTAATACGCTTCGCGCTTCTACAATTACAGAAACTTAAGCTGTTTAACGAAAGCAATCTCGCGCTTCAATTAATACCTGGGTATGATGATATTCTTTGTGGTTATTCAGCCACCTTCACGCGAGAACTCGTAAAGTACTTGTGATAGGTTGAATTTTGGTCGCAAGAAAAAAGCGCAGCGGTAAGTTTTAGGGAAAGCAGTGAGCAACACCGGCACTAATCATTATATACGAACAGCATGACAACGTATTTGTTGAAGAAGATTTGCGTGACAACTTTGCGGATCGAATGTAGTCACGATGAGGCGCGGCGATCGCATCACTCCCGCAAAACTTGCCACGCATTGCCGATCCGGGTCCGTTGTCGGAAACAAAATTAATCAAAACTACCCTTTAAATAACTTCTCCTCGAGACCAGCACTCTTTACGCTGCGTATGAAAACTTTCATGATGTTTCTGTCCACAGCAACGAGACAACGTTGAATGAGACGGACTTACGAATAATTAGTGCCTGTCTACGGTTTACAGAGACAAAAAGTTAATTTAAAACTAAGTGGTTTCTGACAACGGACCCCGCCCCCCCCCGGCGGCACGTACGCGCACCAATGAGGCAAGGCCCGCTCACGGCAGTGGGGACCGCGAGGTGTCACAAATAAACACGCTAACCGCGCGCGTGACGGATGGGAGTACGGTGACAATGACATGCGGTGACATGGACGTCGCGCGGTGCTGCCTACCTTCCGATGACTGACGATGTCACTCACCGTACCGTCGATGCAATGCAGGTTCACCTGATTTGGTACGCGCCGGATCGTGCGGGACAGGACTAAAGGCACGCGTTAGTGGTAAAATGCGAACACACACAAAGCGACTATTGGTAAAGCTCACGGCAACTCTGATAATGCGCCGACCACTCTCACGTCTGTTATGCGGTGGAGAATTGTCTTCCCCGAAAAAAACCAAGAAACATATATATATCTCGCAGTAGCTATGTGCAGTGTGTAATCCGAGCCCTCTACACTATATATATGGCTACTGTCTGAATGAGAGGCAGTATTTAATCACTGTTGATCCTTCGGTGTGTGGTCATGTAACCACGAGTTTCCGTCGTCGCCGTGATTTCGGCAAGAATGAGTGTTTGGATCGGCTGAAAAGTGCTTTCTCTAAGGGAGTGTGTTAGTAGAGCGAAGTAAGGTCGGAACTGTCGATTCGCCGTTGCGATACTTTTACATTCGTGTTACCGGCACCTTCAGTGAGAAAGGTGACTAACGCGCGTGACCACGAGTCGGCCTGTCTCCGCGCGACTCACAACGGCTACTACAGCCGCAGTTGCGCTTGTGTCTGTTCCGTGTCTACATGAAAAAACGTATGCCGCGTCGGGACTGACGAACCGCTAATCCAAAGTCCTCACTTATTAATCATCGTGTCCCTCTTCCTCCCGAGTAGAATAGCTGTCATGACACAGGCTGTATGCTGTGTGGGGTGTAGGTGTGGGGTATGGTGGCTTGGTCAGTGGTGTTCATTATGACGTAGTCTATAGTGTTCAATACCAACGGGAAGTTGTTGATTGTTCCTCACATCCGTGTGTTCGACTTACCATTGCTTACAAATACCCGGTGTGTGACGTGGTAGACCTACATAGAAGTCGGTGCAGTTTGAATTTTGTTGTAAGAAAAGAGACGGAGCGGGTGGGTGAACAGCTAACTTACGCAGAAGGCTTACGACGCACAGACGTCGCTAGGAGTTCCGATGAGGAGAGTATATTAGGATTCGCAGTGTTATTCCGTCTACGAGTGGCGCGAGCGTTGGAAGTTTCGCTCGATACGTTGTGGTCCGAAGAGATAGCTAAGGTTCAAGTCCTGCGTTGATGGCCGGTCGCACGCACGCATGCGTGTAGGCATAATGACGTAACTTGTCGTTCTATCTTACGTGTTTACAGTTCGGTACCGATGCGCGATACTTGCGATATATCAGGCGAATGAAGCCGTGTGTTTTTCGATGGTCAAGCCTCGAAACTGCCTGGGCAGACACTGAGCATGCTCCGCGCGGTATACACTTTCTCCAGGGTTCACAGCGCGGGCATGGCCAATCACTTACCGCACAATTTCCAGCTCATCCTTTCCAGCCCGTTCCCCATATTCCATCCTGGAAATTTCTGTTTCCTTTCCGTCAGGTCTTCGGTTAAACTGTGAATGGTTTCCCGCGCACGCGCGGGAAGTGCCCCTCATTTAGACAGCAAGGTCTCGGACGTACTGTGAGGGTGAGGTCGAGGTTCCGACGTCAATCATGCAAGCGTGCAGCAGGGAAATGAAAGCAACACATGCAAAAGATTATCTGCCAAGCTCTTTTCGGCACTGTTTTTGGCTTGTCCATGTTATGGCGTGTGGTGTGTTGGTGTGTCGCGCGCGGTGCGTGCGTGCGTGGCGTGTCAAAGAACCGATGTAGTACGTGTACAACACTATATT